TTCAAACCATTCATCTTCCAGCAGCTTCTCTAGGTCCTCCCTTCATGCAGGATCAGTCTCTACTTCCCTTCTTCCATTGAAGTTTTTTTTTTTTTCAAGCATGGTAATGCTTCTCAGAGACTGTCTTATTTTTCAGTTATTTTGTATTCCTCGTAATTCCTCCCAAGAAATTGATGACCCTTGAACAGAAGCATCATGCCTTACCTGCATCTCATTCCTCACAGCATCAGTGCAGTCTTTTATACACAATGGGTGCTAATACTGTTCCTGGTATTTATTCCAAAGTCATGATGCACAAGAAAGCTTTCTTTTCAGTGGCGGGAGGAGAGGTCTTCCAGTGCTTAATCTGGTTATTGCAGTATCTAGCTTCTGGTTAAACACTAAGTATACAAATAGTTATTCTTCATTCAATTATGACCAATCTTTAATTATTGCGATAATTAGGTGAGCAGCCCTTTTGTTAAGAGCGCCCTCCAGATGTGTCTTTTAGAACTGCTTTGGCACTTTGTAATTTTCTTTTAGCTGGTGGGATCTTAGTTCCCTGACCAGGGATCAAACCCAGGCCTCTGTCAATGGAAGTGCAGAATCCTGAACACTGGAGCACTAGGGAATTCCCTAAGGACTTTGTAGTTTTTGTGAGGTCTGACAGTCCTCTCTTCTCCTCTGCTTGGACCTCCCCTTCACTCTGTCACACTCACAGCCAGGCTTGGGTCTTATTCAGACTGCAGCTTTTGCAGTCCTCCTTCATGCCAGCCTCCTCAGGACCTCCTGGGTTTAAGTCAGAGCTTCTAAAGGAAGCATCTGTTTGAGAATAAAATAAATATACTGTCTGGATCTAGCCATCTTTAGTAACTTTCTCTGCCTCCTCTTCAGGCAAGCTTTTCATTTTCTGTAGTAATCAGCTTTCTCAAACGCTCTGAGAATGGGGGAATTTGTGAAGTGTTTTGAATTTGAAAAATGCGACTCTGGGTCTCCTCGGTGGGGACCCAGCTGGCCAGCATGGCCCTGGAATGAGGGGGATGAGAGTGGGAGGGCTCCCATGTCTGTACAATGGCAAATAGAGAAAGATGGCTTGGAAACAGGGGGGAAAAATGCTCAGAGGGGAAGGAAATAATAAAATCAAGCTGCTTTATGGCTTATCAGCCCAAAAAGCTTTTCAGTTAAGCTCCATCTATAAAGGTGGGTCCAAGTAATGTTTGTTTTGCATTTCAGGCATTATTGTGTGATAAGTGGTGTAAATTTAGCCCCTTTAAGCCTGATCTCTTGGGAGTTGGATTTTAAGAGACTTTATTTGAAAGGACTGTATCGATTGGGTTTTGATTTGGTCCCTCCTTACTAAAGAGACTACTAAATAATGGCTGGGCCTCCCTGGTAGGCCTTTTTTGTTTTTAATTCATTTTATGGGTCTCTCTATTTGCCCTTGTTCTCCACCTTCAATTTTTAACTGTTCTACTTAAAAAGACTGAAGTGATGTGAAAGAGGGGTAAAAGGGAAAGAAAATCAACTGTCACATTGTAAGCTTAATTGATTCAATAAATAACGTCTTTCAATTCCCAAGGCAAACCCCAAAGTCTTCACTTACGTCAGCTAGCTCTCGGCTCAGTAAATGGTGGCGTTCTTAATTTAGACAGATGGGAAGAGTTCACTGGTGCTCACCTCTAAGGAAGGAGTCTGCTTTTCTGGTTTTAAAGACATACCGACTAGACTTTGGGGCCCACTCTATAAAAAGAAGCTTGCAACAGAATTAACATGGCCGTTTTTATTCATCCTGAAAAGAGAAGGAAGGCATTTAATTATTGTTCAGGGGTTTGTTGAACCAAAGGGGGAAAAGAAAAACGAGACAAGGGGAATGAAATCTACTAGTCCATATGTTCCACGCAGGCAGGGACTTAGACTTGTTCACCATTTACTCTCCAGTACACATGGGCAGGTGCCCAGTAAATATTTGTGAACTGGTTTTGTGTTGAATGAGTAAGAGCAGAATTAGTTTAAATGTCATTCCACTTGTTGTTTCATCCTCAACCCCTCCTTTCCCCTGTAATTAAAAAGGTAAATAGCTCTAAGAGTATGTGCTGTATCTTCAGAAATGATTAAGGACAATTGTTTCATCAGTGTCTGGAGGTGGTATCCAGCTGCTTTTTTTTTTTTTAAACATATTCTCATACTTGAATGAGTCGTGCTTCAGAACCACAGGAGGACTGTCTGCAGACTCCATGCTCCAGCCTTGGAAGTTCAGATTGTAGGGATCTGGGTAGGGCTGGGACTCTGTATTTGCTTTTGTGGGTTCCTCTAGTAATTCTGGTTTAATCACTGTTTAGTCAGCCTCCAGGTGCCCTGAACTCTCTGGTCTAAGTGATGCCTGGTAAAAGTGAGGAGCCTGAGGTGCCCAGCAGAATACTCAGCAGGGCTCCTGGCCCAATAGTCTGATGTTTCGGTTCGCCCCATACTCCACACTTCTTGGTATCAACAAGATCCTTTAGTTAATATTTCTTCCTTCCAAGATAGTGGCTATATTTGTGGTGCTGGAGAAGACTCCTGAGAGTCCCTTGGACAGCAAGGAGATCAAACCAGTCAATCCTAAGGGAATCAACCCTGAATACTCATTGGAAGGACTGATGCTGAAGCTGAAACTCCAGTATTTTGGTCATCTTTATGTAAACAGCTGAGTCATTGGAGAAGCACATGATGCTGGAAAAGATTGAGGGCAGAAGGAGGAGAGGGTGTCGGAGGATGAGATGGCTGGATGGCATCACTGATGCAATGAACATGAACTTGGGCAAACTCTGGGAGATGGTGAGGGACAGGGAGGCCTGGCGTGCTGCAGTCCATGGGATTGCAAAGAGTCGAACACAACTGGGTGACTGAACAACAACAACAGCAGCTAGAAATCTGAAGGACCTTTGGAAACCTCAAGGAACCTCAAGGAAATGTTAACTTTTGTTTAGTGTAGTTTTAGTTCTGTTGTTTTGTCACTAAGTTGTGTCCTACTCTTTTGTGACCCCATGGACTATAGCCCACCAGGTTCCTCTGTTCATGGGATTTCCCAAACAAGAATACTGGAGTGGGTTGCCATTTCCTTCTGCAGGAAATCTTCTCGACCCAAGGATCAGACTCATGTCTCCTTCATTGCAGGCGGATTCTTTACCATTGGGCCACCAGGGAAGCCCTCAGTGTAATTTAGTACTCAGTGTATTGTGTTGTCTTCTCTAGAGATGCGTTCCCCTCCTGTGACTCAGAACAAACCGCAAGTAGGAAGTCCCTATCTGTCTCCTGTAGTTCCTCTCAGTCTTTCCCAGCCCTGCTTGACTGTGGGAAGCAGCAGTTAAAGATCCAGCACTCTGGGGTCTACTAGAGTCCTCTGAAATCAAAGCTTTACCGTGTGGGGCCTGAGACCTGCAGTTTAAGTTAGTGTTGCTCATTGTTATCCTCTGTCCTGTCCCTGAGTGCAGTCTGTCCCATTTCTGACAACCCAGCTTTGAATTCCTTAACACTGCAGTTCATAATTACATCACAACCCTGCCTTTCCATCTGAAGGTTTAGCCTCTGATCTACAGAACTTGTCCTTCAAGAAGGAAAGAGGGAGTATCTGCTTTCTTCTTTCCTTCAGGGTAGAACTTGACCAGCGGAGGTGGATGGGCTGGCAACTTGATGTGTTCAGCCTTGGTGTGAGCCTTGTGATGTTAAGGGGTGCCCCTGAAACCAGAATTCAGCGTCTGTGTTCTTCCTCTGGCTTTATTATTTAATAGCTGTATAATGTGGGGGAAATTACTAAACCCTCCTTGAATTTCTGTTTTCTTCATCAGTAAAATGAAGGTTAAACAAGGTTGGGCTCTCGGACACAGGCTCAGATGGAGATTTTTGTGCAGAGGGTAGTTGGAATGGGCTCTTGGGAACAACTCTTGTGAGGGAGTGAGGGAAGTGGGCAGAAGGTAACCGTGAACTGCAATGCAGTCGTGATGAAGGTCTCAGCTGACCCAATGGGGAACTGTGGCAATGGGATACCCTTCCGAGTTGTCCCAAATTTACACGGGGGGCTGGGTCTTCCTTCCTTATATCGGCCAGCCATCCGATGTGGGCCAGTCCTGGAGAGGGGCATGACCTTAGGTACCACAGCTCCCTTTGGCTGAGGGTGGCTGGGTGCTGGCAGCAGCCTGTGGTGCTGGCAGAAGGGGGAGGATCTCCATAGTCCACCTTGTACCCACCACTGGATGACGGTGCACCAGATAACGCCCATGCAGACCTTGGCAGCGAGTCTAGCACTTGTGTAAGTATTGAGTAAACACAGGCATAGCTTCTTTTATCACACCTGACAGACACTGCACATTTTACAGACTGAAGGTTTGTGGCCACCCTCCATCAAGCAAGCCTTTTTTTTTTTTTTTTTGGCTGTGCTGGGTCTTTGTTGTGGCATGCAGGCTTCTCTGGTTGTGGCTTATGGGATCCTAGTTCTCTGACCAGGGATCAAACCCATGTCCCCTACATTGGAAGGCAAAATCTTAATCACTGGACCACCAGGGAAATCCCCAGGCAAGTCTTTCGGCATCATTTTTCCAACAGCATCTGCTCACTCCGTGTCTCTGTGTCACATTTCAGTAATTTCTGACCTGTTCGTTGTCATTATACCTGTTACGGTGATCTGTGATCTCTGATATCACTGGTGTAGTGTTAACTATCACCATGATTATTCCAGCTCTGGCAGTGCCACTTAGTAGCTGGATCACTTTCAGTAAGTCGCTTAAATTGCTTTCTTATGTTTAAAATGGAAGATTCACAGCTCTGCTCTGCCTGTTTCCCCAAGTAGTTCCGAGCACATGTGGAGATAACGTATATAAAATTGCTGAATGGAATATTATAAAAATGTGAGATATGACTACAAGCCTACTTTTCTGAAATGAATACATGGCCATAGCTTGGATTCCTTGAAGGGAAAGGTTGTGATAAATGTAAAAGTGCTTGTCCGTGAAATGTGGCATTTTGATGTTTCTTTCTTCTCTCCCTAGGGAATTAGAATAATGGAGATGCTGCTAAAGGAACAGTGTGGTGCCCCCTTAGCCGAATAAAGAATCACCAGTGAGTACCAAAAGCAAAATCAGAATTATTTACTCAAGCCATGTCTTCATGCTTATAAGCCTAAGTATTATGCTCCAGCTTCCCTGGGCTATTCTTGCTGTATGTTTCCCAGTTATACTCACAGGATGCTTCTTGCAAGTGTTTTGTTATCTGTTCTATATACCTTTATTTGCTTGGTTCTTTGATTTTCAGAGCAGTTTTGTACTACGTGCTGGGTTGCAACTGCTCTTAGATTGTTTAAACTGCTCAATACAATCCTCTGTGATTGCCACCCTCAAGGTATATAGCATAGGTTGTAGAGACTGCAGTTCAGAATTAACTGAAGCCTAATTTTATTGTCCCAAGAACAGTGAAAGCAGGGGTTTAAAGCTGTATTTGGAGCAGGAAAAAGAATAAGAAAGGGGCATGTTGATTGACCAGTGAAATACAGATATTTCATCAGTTATGTGTATTCCTGCCAATTGGGGGTGGCTGTCTGAAATGCTATTGAGGAGGATGCCAAGGCCTGGAAAATAACTCTTGGGCTCTGGATAAGAGTATTGTGATTGATCAGCAATGTCTACCATGGGCAGAGGATGGAAGAGATAGTACTTGTGCTGGAGCACATGCCACTTTCAGGGCAAGTGATGTAGGGTTAACAGATAAGCAAGGGGATTCCAGAAGTACTTCCTTTTCAGTTCTTTAAGTTTTTTTTTATCTACATCAAGGAGAATGGCATGCTTGCTGGGAAGCGAAGAACAAAGTTATCTGAGAGACTGAAAGCCTAGTATAAGTTAGTGGATTTGCATATTACCTGGTTTATTTGACTTCGATTTTTAACATCTGAGAGAAGGTAGAACCTTTGAATAGAGCAAACATTATCATGGGTAATTCAGAATTACCTCAAAGTTCCTTATGTTGGCTTTAACCTGGAGTATACATGGTCTTGTGTAAACGACCTGGTCTCTAACTTTGATATCCAATAAAGTTTGAGAACAGTTAACCAAAGAAGAAGCAAAAGGAACATTTGTATACAAGAACCTCAGCATGCAAAGCATGCTGGCCAGGCCTATGCATGAGGATTGGAGAATTATAAAGGGTTTCTGCTTGTTTGCAAGTTTGACTCCATTCTGATGAATATTAAACCTCTGTATACCTAACACACACTGATACATCTATTTATTACTGGAAGGGCTAAGCAAGATAATTCCATCTAGTGAAAGCCTGGCACATGGCAGGTGCTCAAACAATGTTGGCATGGAATCGACATGTGTGCTCCCACATCTGCTCTGTTCTTGGGAAAGTTGTGGAGAATAACTTGGCCACAGCCCCCTGTTTTTCCAAATTGGCCTCTCTGTGAGGCTTTCAAAGCACCTCTGGTGCACTTGGGCATAGAGCCCATCTTACCGTGCAGGGTGGAACCTAAAGTCAGGTTAATTAGAGAATGAGGAACTCAACTTACAACTATATATTGGTTTTCAGACTTTACATCAGTGGTTTGGAAACTTTAGTGAGCGTCAGAATCACGTGGAGAATTTGGTAAACACAGAGTGGTGAGTCCCATTCTGAGTTCCTGATTCAGGAGGTCTGGGTGGAGCCTGGGGCTTTGTGCTTCTGACCAGAGTCCAGGGGATGCTGGTGAGGCTGGTCCAGGGACCACACTTTAAGAATGATTGCTTTAAATAAGTTCCCATTTTGGAGTTGTAGACAGATGAAATGCAAGGACCCTGCAAAAGCTGATGGCTGGTGTTTTGAAATTATGGTGTACATCTTCCATCAACTTTAATCAGAGGAGGAATAATTTTCTGTGTGTGGCTTTTCCCTGATTTTAGCATCTCAGCCTCTTCTTATTTGCCAATTTTATCTTTTCTTCCCCCTCCTTGAAGGTTGACAGGCTTCACAGTGGAGCAAAGATGACTGAAAAGGGTTGAGACTCAACAACACATCATGTTTGAAATCGTCAGCTTGTGGTTTTGATTTAAAGGGTTATAGTGAAAAAGAGGAAATTTAATAAGCATTACCTCCCATCTTAAATGACTCATGTTCTTGTTCTTTGGTTTTGGTTTTACTGTGGTGGAAAGCGAAGTCATGAACTCGAGGCTTTTTGTTGTTTCTAAAAAGCAACCAGTTCTCCTCCCTGAAGTGAAGAAGCTGAGGTCTGGATGCTATGAGGAGCTGAGTGCAGGCGAGCTGCAGAATGCCTTTAATGCAACAGAGTTCCTGGAGGATTTACGTCGTTCAGACTGTCATCGTTTATGACCAGTTCTGTCAGGAGCAGCTATGAATTAAGGACTGTATACTCTTACCACAGGGGTCTACAGTCACTGCAAATTAGGGGCTATGGCCAAGGCTTTACGCTTTTTTCAAAATTGGCTTCATTGCTCAGTTAAATTGCCTTCATCAGCACAATTAAATTGACTAATTTCAGTGTATGACTCGGTCAGTCAGTTCAGTCGCTCAGTATGACACTGTTTCCACTGTCTCCCCATCTATTTCCCATGAGGTGATGGGACCAGATGCCATGGTCTTAGTTTTCTGAATGTTGAGCTTTAAGCCAACTTTTCTACTCTCCCCTTTCGCTTTCATGACTCGGTAAGTTTTGACAAATGTACACAGCTGTGTAAGCATCATGAAGAACACGATATGGAGCATTTTGAGGCATTTCTGTCCCTGCAGTGCTGTTGCTGCGATGCTGTTGCCAGCTTATTGCTCCCACCTTTTAGCTCATGTTTTGGACTGTTTTTGCAAAATTTTGGCAAGTTTGAAATACACCTATCTTAATGGAACTTTTTATTTTCTAAAAATTACATTTACCAAAGTGGGAGAATGTAGGTAGGGAAACTTCCTTTTATGTGCAATAAAATGCTTCATTGAAAGAAAGGGCTGAGGGGGAGGTGTGGGGTGGGGATTAACTCCATAGCTAAAGAGCAGAAGTCAGCCAACTGTAACCCAGAGGCTAAATCTAACCTGTGGCCTCTTTTGTAAATAAAGTTTTATTGAAACTCAGCTATGTTCCTGGTCATGTTCCAGCTACAGCAGAAGCATCGAGCTGTGACATATCTTTTACCATCTGGCCCTTTAAGAAAAATTGTCTCTCCCAGGGATTAGAGTTTGATGGCTCCTAAATTAGCATGAGGTGGCCTCCTGGTGGTGGTATGGTCTTTGTTTGGTTTTAAATGTATCATTTGATCTCATCTTGCCTCTAGTCCAAAGTTGATAATAGTATGAGAGTTAACTCTGACCACCAGTTGGAGGGTGTTATTTTAAGGCATGAAAAAGCATTAAAAGGATCACAACAATGACGCTAAGACACCAGCAATAGTGGTCATTAAAATTGCTTCATAAGGTTCTAGTGCACACGCATAGTGGGGTAGAAATACAGGTTTTTGTTTAGCAGGTGCAGTAGCACTCTGATGTGGCGATAGTGTAGGTGCCATGTCCAGTGTACTCAGATTTTTAGCTTTGGAATGTTGCAGTTCTTAACAGTGTTTTAAAAAAGCATTCCATGGGGTCTGTACAAATGTGTCCAAGGAGATGTTGCTTAATATTTTTATATTCTACTACACAATTCAAATGTGCATAATTTAAAATCACACATAGAACCTGACCACATTGTGTAGGGTACCACCTCGCCCTAACGATGCTTCCATATCTCAGTGGCATGTGTATTCTAGTTGGTGTTGATAGTTAGAAAGCTTAGAAGGTGATTTTGTCCTGAGCTTAGGTGCATAAATCTCACTAACCAGTCTGCTTGCGGTGTGCTGCTGACACATCCATCTGATAGATTTTTGATTTCCTGTCATTTTTGCAGAAAACAAATAGCCCTGACATCTGTTTGTTCTTGCTGCTGGCAGTTGGGAGGCCGGGCCTGGTGAGGTTTGATAACATAGTCACCTTCTTTCACATGGGAATGATTAAGACCTCAGTTTTCGCTATATCTTAACTTCCCTTTGAACCAGCTCCTTTGGGTAGCTGGACTTAATAAAATGAGGTGCTTGCTTTGTTCGAAGATCATTAGGAGACAGAAGTGCAATTTCTTTTTTTTTTTTTTAAGAAATGCAATTTCTTTTAGAATTAGCCATAGTGATAGAATTCAAGCGGCTCTTAAGAGTTGCTTCAGAAAAAGTGGGCAAATAAGCGTTGACCGTGAGACATGTTCGTTAGGTGGTAAAGCCTGTTTGCTTTCTCTTGCAGGGAAGTCGTGCTGTGTCTACTTCTGCCTGAGCATATTTCCTCGGACACAACACATCCAAAGACACGGGTTTAGAAATACAGATTTAAGGATGTGGTGTTGGCAGCTTAGAGAAGAGGACACCTTCCTGCTGGCACTTGACGTGATCCATGCCCCTGGGAGTCGGCCCCAGAGAGAGGCTCTTGTGTGGCTGACACCTTCTGGCTGATTCTTAATGGCACAAGCTCTGCAATTTTACAAATAAAGAAAAAATTCCAGAGAAGGTGATGTCCAAAGAAAAAATCCTGGAGAAGCTGATGTCTGTCCTTCATCAGGACATCCTGCTGATTGCCTGGTGATGGTGTCAGGGCAGCTAAGGATGGGCCAGAGGCCTGGAAAGTGCTGCGTGTTTCTACTTGTTCTCTGCATCATGGCTTATAGAACTAACAAGAGGATGCTGGGGCAAATAAAGTAGTTAAACCTGATACGTGATTCTTGGGTGGCCTGAAACAGACAGAAATACACCAGACCTGTGTTGAAGTTAAGCCATATTCATAGAAATGTTGAAGAGTCTCAGAAGTCAGGAGCACTTGACTTTTTTTACCCAGCAATACAACGTACCTGCTACCAGCATAGCTTTTATAATGTGAACTGTGATTGGTCCTTAACACAACCTGGAGCGGGCAGGGAGGCTGTGGGCTATCATCTTGGCTCCTTCTAACTCATTCTGGGTGGAGCAGGTCATGTGACCTCTTCGTGTTTTTTTTTTTTTTTTAAACTGGGCAAATGGGGATAATCGGGCACAGCTCTTTCTACTTGTGATGATGAAACCAGGGTATTTGGTGTAAAAGGCTCAAGTCTGGGAGCCGAACGGACAGAAGCGCGTTTGAACATACGCGCAGCTCCCAGCAGTTCCATGATCATGTACGTAGCTTAAAGTCTTTCTGATACTCATTTTTAAAATTGTAAAACGGGGTTATAGAGTTAACCTTACGAGGTTGTTGGAACAATTGGACAACATGTGATTAAGTGCCTAGCATGCTTTTTGGTACACAGAAGTAAATAGAAGCCATTATTATTATGTGAAACAGTTTTGGAAATGTGCTTTTCCAGTGTAATATAACGTAGTATTACTGTTTGAAAATTAGATGATGGTAGTTTGCATTTCCTAGGATGGGAAGCCAAAATGTAAGTATGCACTATCTAAACGAAAGCTTGAAGAGAGGCAATAATTTGCAATTCCTTTTAAGATAAAAATTGGGCCATTCCTGGAGAGTCTTGGGGAAATCTTTTTTTTTAATGTTTAAAAATTTTCCATTTAATGCACTGATGAATTTCAGACGAATTGTATTTTTCTTTCTTCTTTTTTTTTTAAATACAAGCCAGCTACTGTGGGCTCCTCTTATGGTATTTGAGCTGTTTGTGCTGCCTGAGTTTTGTGTCTCAGGATAATTTCCCTTCATTTCCTTAGTGTTTCATTCTTTGGTTGGATTCAGAGGGAAAATGAATGATGGAAATCGGAACATGCTTTGACCTCCTTTTCCAGTTTGTAAACGTAGGTTTTTGGAATAATGGAACATTTCCAAAAGTAAAAAAGCTAATGTGAGTTATCATGGAGGTGAGAGGTGGGAAACCAGTATTTGGAAGTTGATGTTAGAATAATCATTACTTTGGGAGTTCCCTAGTGGTCTGGTGGTTAGGATTCCACACTTTCACTGCCATGGCTTGGGTTCAGTTCCTGATCAGGGAACTGAGGTCCTGCAAGCTGCATCGTTTGGCTAGAAAAAAAAAAGAGTAAATGTAACGCTTCACATTCGGCAACTTGCATTCCCTGAAGGCAGGAGTTCTCAGCCTTGGCTGTCCATTAGAACCACGTGGGAGCTTTCTGCAAGCCTACCCCCGGGGTTTCATCCCAGATCTATAAGTCAGAGTCTCCAGGGGTGGATCCCAAACATCAGCTTTTTTTTTTTTTTTGTAAAGCTCCCTAGTGATTCCAATGAACAGCTAAGGACACAAACTCTGCAGTGATTTCTCGGTGATTTGCAGGTATTATCTGATTCCTTTTTTAACACCTCCAAGGTAGGAAGGTGTCTTTGTAGCAGGAATTACCGTTAGAGTAAAGCACAGAGAGACTGACTTTAGGCCTTAATTCCTTACAGCTGGGGCGGCCGATGCAAACACCTGCAGGGTCTGGCAAGTGATCTGGTGCATGAAGCAGGCTGGTGGACCCTAGGGAGACCCCAGGAATATGTGGCTGGCCAAAGGTGGGCAGCTGCCACCCAGTTCAGCACACTGCTGCCAAGTGGCTGGTTTTTCTAGTTCTTCTAATTTCCAATTTTATGGGAAAGGATAGAATTTAAAAAAAAAAAACCTTCCAATTTTTATGTGTTGGCAACGAATTCAGGATTGTTTAAAACATTGTGCCGGCCAAACAAAACATGTTTGCCGGTAGTTTCCAGCCTTTGCTTCAAGAGTGTTAAGGACCAGCTTAAACATCTCAGCCAATTTTTGAGAGATTTGCATTTCCCGATTCTGGATGTAAGCTGCTCTCTGCCTGTCCTCCAAGACTGCTTTCACGTGTTTTCCTCCCCTTTCCCAAGCCGTCCTCTGAACTCACATCAGACACCTTTCTTCACTATTTTTCTCCCCGTGGGCATCCATTACTTCAAGCTTACATATATGGCTTAGAAATCTTCTGTTCCTTTTAAAATTAATTAGGGCTTGTTAAATTTTTTTTTTTTAAATTACATGTCAGAACCCTTTTCCTGTGATACAACATTTAGAAGTCCATATCTAACTTGACTGTCTATAAAATGTCAAAACCAGGAGTGTAGCCTTGTGGGCACATTAGCAACATGAGTGGGCAGGGTTAACTCCCAGACCTGGCCAGTCTGCTCCTGACCTGGTTGCTGAACCTACACGTGAAGGTGAGGCCATATCAGAGTGATTCTCAGGCTTCTGCTTGTACCAGAAATCCTTGAGGAGGTGGGCTCAACTGCAGGTTCCGAGGGTCTGCCCCAGTGATTCATGAAATTTCAGTTGGGACTCAGGGATCTGCATTTTAAAACAAGTTCACCAGGAGATTTGGTTGTGCTGTTCCACAGACCAGATTTTGAGAAACAGTGATCCAGGGGAGGTGTTTGTGGCTTGTGTGTCTATCGTGTAAGAAGGCTTTATAGTCGGTTGGGCCCACTGATTAATACAGGTGAGCACTCAGGACACAGTATCAAGCTCTCTGCACAGAGGCTGACTTAGGGTGTCCCTGCATGATTGAGGTGCTTTCGCCATGAATGAGCTTTTGTGGTTTCAGTCATGTGGATACAAAAGGTGCTATATTCTTTTGATATAAATTGCTTTGTGTGTTTTATAAGCAGTATTGTGTAGTAATATCTCATTTATCAGACATCATGGGCACATGGTATAGTGGACCCAAGGTTATTCTTTGTTTTTTAGGGACTGTGATTTCTTTACAATGTTGCGTTAGTTTCTGCTGGACAGCATTGTAAATCGGCCACATGTATGTGTATATCCCCTCCCTCGGAGCCTCCCTCCCATTCCGCCCCTCTAGGTCATCACAGAGCACTCAGTCCAGCTCCTTGTGTTACATACGACTTCCAGCCAGCTGGCTGTTTTACACGTGGTAGTGTTTATATGTCAATGCTATTTTCTCAGTAAGGTAATTCTTTTAAGTCGCACATCTTTTTTGCTCTAATTCAGCCATTTACATGGGACTCTTAATTTAGTATCTGTTTCCCCGCTTTTGTAAACAGGATCGACTGAAGATAGGAATTTCATTTCAGTGTGGTCATTTATGTTTTGACTTCTTTCCGGTTTGTTCAGGTTTGTTAAAGCCCCTCTGTTGAACAGCTCCGCTCCTTGACGTTTACCATGGTTTTCCTAGTTTCTTCTTTTCTGTCACTGTTCCCTGTCTTGTCTCCCTGCCTTAACTCTGCTTATCTCTATGAACTTCCCTCTCCATTGCTGCCTGGGGTTGGGTAATGCTGTTAACTGCATACTATATGTCAAGTAACAGTAAACCGGAGCCAAGCGAGTCTTTGGGAGGCTTTTCTAACAGTGAAATGGATCAGTGTTGCTGTGTTATTTTAGTGGCTCCACTACTTCCTCTGACTTACTTCCTGATCCTCAACTGCAGTTGTCAGATCTGTGACCACACGATAATGGAGATATTGCTACCAATGATGTCCTTAGATCTGTACTCTGTGGTCTCCCCAACTCTGTTAGCGTTCTTATATATACAGTTTTATAATGTGAAACGTAAGTAGATTACAAATGAACATTTCTGTGCCAACTGTCTGGGATAAAGTGTTTTTGATTCAGTGTTACTGTGATTTAGAGCTACAAATTAGTTGTATCCCTCTGAAATTTGATCCTGTCATCCTTCTGAAATAAAGGTGTCACAACTAATATTTATGTGTGAGTTTTAATTTCTTAAGGGCATCACATCACCTGGCAGAGCTTGTGTGTATCATGTGTAGCAATGATAAGCTAATGTAGTAATCTAGTCCTTTTTAGCAATCCCAGAGAACAGTGTTAGGCCAGTCAGATGTATTAGTCCCCTGCCTCCCCCAAGCTGAGCCATTTCTTCTGCCAGAGACAAGCAGAGGCTGCCCTTACCAGATGAGAAGATGGGTCCTGTGCTAATGGAACAAAGGGTGAGGCTCTGCAGGGCAAGGAGGCGTGAGGCACAGACATGAAGTCACGTGGTCCCAAAGGGGCGGCAGACAGAGCAGCTGCTTGTTGACCTGCTTGTGAGGCTCAGCTATACTTTCTGTACTTTGTTTACATGAGATTTGCTTTTGTCCTTGTATTTGTCCACCTTTTACTTGAATGTATGCAAGTGGATTTCAGTGCCTTGCTTCCAAAGTGCCCTGTCCAACTCCTGTTGATGCCTTTCCTTTGTTAGAGCCTGGGGGCCTTGAGGGGTAGAGTCCTTGGTTGGTTCATCCAGCACTTATTGAACACCTACTGTATGCAACAGAAGGGCGGGATTTGTCTTCTCTTTTGACTTGATCCAGTGGGTTTCCAAGAGACTTACCACTTCCTTGTACTAAGAGCAGTAGCAGGCACCAATTGATGGTAAGACCGGACACACTTATCCCTTGGGTTAATCACACTGTGGTTGCTTATTTAATTAAAACATGCAGAAAATAGCACAGGATGCATAGTGGAGAGCTCAGCACAAAATGTATATAGCTCAATGGTCCCACAGCCTCACCAGCAGCTTGCACGGTTGTGTAATCATGTCTGAATTAGTGCGGGGCACATCGTATGTTTTGGAAGATGAGTTCTCTCCAGGCTCAGCCTTATACACAGAAAGGTGGAGCTGCCCTGTGTGGGACCACTTCCTACCCTGAGCCACGTCAGGAGTGCACCATGACCGCAGGGAGCGAGATGCAGCATAGAAGGCTTTTACTGCCAGATCTTTCTAACTACTACCACCTGCTCTGAGGACATCCCCGAATTCAGGGCTGCAGTTTCAGGGTCTGGTTTCCCTGATGTCTGGGCAGGTCATACTAACTAATTCTGGCTCATCTTGAAAGCCCTGGAGCCTTCACACAAGCCTTGGAGAGACTGAGGCAGGTAAAGGGGTAGAGTCTTAAGAAGGACAGACCCAGTGCGATGAGGTCTCCGAATAAAAATTAACTTATAGAAACACTTGAGAGATTTAACTTAAAATGCAATATTTCTTACATTCCTCAACTGCCAATTGGAATCCCCTTGGAGCTTCAAAAATTCTGATGCCTGGATCCCACCCCCAGAGATTCTAGGCTGCAGCCCCTGCATCAGGGTTGCATCAAGCTCCCTAGCTGATCACGAACAACTGTGGTGATTCCATCAGGATTCTAAGTAATGTGGTTATCCTTAAGCTGGCTGGGAGGAGTTTGCAATATGAAAACTTTTTTCCCTAATATTTTGCCTGTGTGTGTGCTTAGTCATATCTGACTCTTTGCAATCCCATGGACTTTATAGCCCACCAGGCTTCTCTGTCCATTGAATTTTCCAGGCAAGAAACTGGAGTTGGTTGCCATTTCCTCCTCCAGGGCATTTTCCCTACCCAGGGATTGAACCCATGTCTCTTGTGTCTCCTGCATGGGCAGGCAGATTCTTTACCACTGCGCCACCTGGGATTTTAGTCCTTCAGAAAAATATAATTCACTAAGAAAAAGATAATCCAGTGTCTCTTAAATGCTAATAGAAGAAAAGAGAGTCTAAAAATATGCCACCAGGCACAACCTGCTTTGTTAACTCACAACTTTGGGTTGTATTTGGTGGAACATAATCCCATACAGAAAATGGATCCCCTAACAACTCAAGACCCTTACTTGTCCTAAAGGGTTACAAGGAGTGACCGCACTGCCGGACCTTAAGACGTAGCTCTCTAAGCTATGGACAGCCATGCTGTGCAGGAGACAGCAGAGAGAAAATAGCAGTCACCATTCTGTTAAATTAAACTCCACGGAGCCATTCTCCAGCATTCTACGAGAAGGTTAGAGCCATTTCGTGCCTGCCATCTGTTAAGCTGCTGATGGAATCATTACTGCTTTGTGTCGGTGCCAGGATGAACTTTTAGATCCTATGACAAAGGAGAAAATGCTAGCTGTTCAGTTGCATGCTTTTGTTTTCCTGTCTTGAGTTTAGGTGTCTCCCTAAATTCAGGAGTCCATCAGTTATTCAGACTTTGAAATGATTGCATTGCCGGTTTCTTTAGAGGTTTAGGGGAAGTTATTTTCTGGGCTGAAACTCCTCTTGTTATTTGTGGTATTAGTCAAAACCAAAGTCATTCTTGTCAATCAGTCAAAAAAATTCTTTTCTGTGGTCCTCAGGACACGAAGTCTCCAAAAAGCAGCCAGAAAGAATTCAATAAATGAATTATCCCAGTGTAACATTATGGTAAATGGAAACGGGATTTGGGGCAAGGAGGGGAGAAATGTACAAGGTCATACCAGTCACTGATTAGGTTAGGGTGACTGCAAGGAAAACTTTACTGTCTTAATTTCTTTCCCAAATGACATTTCAGAGCTGGGGAACATAGCATGGAGGTTTAGAGCCTTAATCCATTTGTTTAAAAATATTTCTGAACGTGTCCACAGATAGAGCAGAAAAAAGTTCAATACAGCTCGTCTAGTATCTTGGTGGCTGGATCTAAAGCTTTGAAAAACTTGGAGTCACAGCTGAGGCACTAGATGGCTACGATTTTTAATTACAGTTTTAAATTGGATTAAACTATGTATCAGATTACAGTTGGAACCATTCCAGTATAGATAGTAGTCTTTTTGTATGTGTGAAGTTAGAGTCAGCATTATAACTTGTTTCCTTAGGTGTTAATTGTTCTGTC